GATGGTGTTGGTGCATGCCTTTAATCCCAATACTTGGGAAGCGGGTGGGTCTTTGTGAGTTCCAGGACAACCAGACTGTTACACAGAGACACTCTACCTATAAATAAATAAAAATAAATAAACAAACAAATAAATAAACAAATAAAAATTTTGCTGTGTAGTTTCTTCTCTGGAGAAACCTGAATGTGGAAGCCATATTTCTGGGTCTGTTTTTGCTTAGTCATGGACTATGTTAGATTTAGTGTATGGCTTTTTCTGACCTGTGTCCAGGATTATCCTTCCATGGACTCCTCAGAGAGTACTCCTATCCCTGATGATCTGTAAGGATGTGATTTATGTTTTTGGCTTTGTGTTCCTCTCCATCCCTGGTCTTTTAAGGTAGAGGATACTAGCAAGGTAGACCCCTACCTTAATTCTCTTTATAAGGGAATTGGGGGGAAGCCCTTGGTACTCCTCACCCCAATACATATTTAATCTCTGTGTAACAGGGAGTCTTAAAAGTTTGTTTGTTTGAGACAGGGTCTCACTATATAGCCCTGTTTGGCCTAGAACTCACTATGTAGACCATGCTAGCCTCAAACTCATAGAGATCTGCCTGCCTCTGACTCTGATTCCTGAGTGCTGGGATTAAAGATGTATACACCTTTAGTCAAAGTTTAAGACATGGAGATGGAACCCTTCCTTAGTTTCTAATGCTGATGGAAGATGCTTAACTGCTTTGATCCTTCTTGATGGGATTTGGGAAGTAAGATGAGTTTGTGGTCATTTTGACTGATACTTTTTCTCTTATTCTGTATGCTAGTACTGAAATTAGAGCATGGATTTCAGAAGATACTGTTTGATGCCTGAGATCAAATGCTTCATAATTTTTATCTTATAAGAGCAACACAACATTAATTTTGAGAAAATGACATCCCAGATAAGGGCAAAGAATATTCAAAGGCACTGAGTCAGGACATAAAAAGAAATAAACTTCAGCGGCTAAGCTGAAACTTGAAACTTAGATGGACAGAGGAGACTGATAGACACTCATGGTGGCACTGGGAGAAGCCTGGGACCAGGCTTTATTATATTGTTCCAGTGTGGCAGGTGTAAGCATGCGGTGGGTGGGACCATTCCTTTTCATGGTCTGACAATGTGAAAGCATATCAACGTTGTGATGTGACAGTTGCTAAGTAAAGTTAACATTTAAATACTTTAAAAATCATAATATATAAGAGCTCACTTATACTTGGACCAAAGTAGAGAATGGCACCAAGTGGTACAGAAAATCAACATCATTTGAAAGCTTTGTTCCACGGCCAAACAAGGTAAGCAGTGAGAGAAGCTAGGAGGATATTTGTAGGGAAAGTCATCAAAGATGAATGTATACATATAGTAGATTATGACATAAGACACATAAGGTGGACCTGCAGCCAAGCTGTGGACATCTGCAGTGGTTGATGGGAAATGTAGCCTTTTGACAAATAATATAACCCTTTTGCATTCATGCACCAGAGTATCTGGCCTCCGTTTTTCTGTTCTTAGATTATGGGCTGCCAGCTTCTACATGCAAAGTAATGAACTAAGAGAATAGTGAAATGAGTATCAATAGCCTTTTGTTTGTTTGTTTGTTTGTTTTTAGGTATATTGACACTCAAATGTGTGTACCTCTCCCAGAATGTTCACATACTACAGAGAATTTGACAAAAGTATACTCTACCACAAACCCAGTTGGTACACCAGATCCATTACTTAAGGCCCATGTAGCCTTTGTCATGGTTTTCCTCTAAATTAAATAATATAAGTGATTTCTGTAGAAAATTAAACTGTTAGATACTCCTTCCTTACCCTCCCCAGGGCTGGGATTCAGATAATGGTTTTTGTGACATATTATACCTCCTAGCATGTGCAGTAGGGATCTGTCATGTGCGTTCTTTTAATGGAAGTTACTGTCGCAGCTTTATATGTGGTAGCAGACATGTTTTGTTTGTTTTTTGATGGGATTCCTAACCAGAAACTAGCCATCTCTTACAGGATGTGGCTAAGGAAAAGAGGAAACTTCACACTGCTGTAGAGGAAATTAATGTGTTACTAAACACTGGAGTGTTTGTGTTCATATTTTGAAACCAACAGAAACTGTGCTCTTGGGTGACTTAGGTTTCAAGGCATGTTTGACTCCACACGTGATTCAACCTAAAGGCTAGAGTTGGCCTTGAAAAGTTGGTGTAGCCACGTGTATAATCTTGCACTTTGCCCTTTGTTTACAAAATTTGCTAAGATATTCCTGGCTATATGATTAAATATTTCTTAATATCCTTTATAGTATATAGAATTCATCTTCCTCTTGGGAACACAATAAATTAATCATTCATTTATTGCTCAGACCATAACAACTCTTAGACAACCTAGTACAAGGAATTCAGGCTTGTATACAATTAAAGTATGGGTGAAGTATTCTTTATTTGAGTGTTTTAGATTATAGGATTTTTTTTCATTGTTTTCCTTTAGATATTTACATATGTATAATTAGATATCTGAGGCATTGTGACCCAGGCCTTCTCATCAAATTCAGTGATGTTTCATATACCTGAAGGTGTATGTTTTATGTAGCTTGAAGGTGACTTTGTTTTATACTTTTCACATGGGGTCAAGGATGGAATTTCCTAGTGGCATCATATTGGTATTCAAAAGATTGTAGAATTTTTGTAAAGAATATTTATCAACATATTTATATATACATATATATGAATTTTTTGTTGGCATGTATGTATATATACCACATGCATTCCTTGTGCCCTTGGAAATCAGAAGAGGGCATTTGATCTCCTGGAACCGGAGTAACAGACCATTGTGAACCGCTGTGTGGGTGCTGGGAATCGAACCTGGATCTTCCAGAAGAGCAATCAAAGCTGAGTCATCTCTCCAGCCCTTATTTCAGATGTCTGATCATTTCAAATTTTCGGATGATAATATTCAGACTAATTCATAATGTTAAAGCCAAGCCAGCTGATTGGTCAGTGAGTATCATCTTTGGATATGTGAAAACAGGCATCCTTTATATTAATTTAAATTGCTGTTTCCTTATGAAGCTTAAATGAATCTTTCCACTTATTGTTTGTTGTTTCAAACCACTGGAAAACTTAGATAACTAAGTTGTATGTAGGGTCCTCCATTTTATTCCTATTAAATTAACAAGGAATGACATGTAAATAACGTTTTTTAAATGACCTGCCTTGGTTGCTCTTTGGCAGTAAACCAGTTAAATAAGATGGACAGTGGCCCACTGTTTCATGTGCTCCAGAGTTGCTGATGTGGGAATAAGACTTTTTTTTTCTATCCAGACCTGATATCTTCTTAATATGGCTCCATGTTTTTTTCTGCACATCCACTTGCTAATTTTCCTTTGTTCTTTAATCCATTTATTTATTTTGAGGCAGTGTCTTCCCATTTTGCCCAGATTGGCCTCAAATTCCTGGGCACAAGTGGTCTTCCCTTGGCCTCCTAAGTATCTGGGGCCTCAGGTCACACAATCACATTGGCTCACCATATGATTTTATACCATGTAACACAAGGTGGGAAACAAAACAACCACCTCTTTGCATCAAATCACTAGGAATTATTAAAAAAAAAAAAAAAATCAGTCCCTTACCACTTCTGAAATGCCTGGTAGTTTTTCCCAAGGAAGTTTTCAGTTTACTGATTTTTTTCCCCTACCCAAAAAGAAGGGCAGTGCAGTGAAGAGTATAGGGCAGAGTAGTTTGTGTGCTTTAATTCTGCCTCACTTAAATTTAGCCTATTTGTGTTGATCATAGAGCAATAGAAGAAAGCAAAGAGAATTAAGGACAAGTAAATTCAATCGTAGGAACTTATGCATAGTTAGGCAAGTTTCAAAAAATTGGGAAATATTTTAAACCTTCACTGACCTTATTAAAATGTATTTCCAGAAATATTCTGTTTGAGCCTTTCTCATGAATTAGTCATCTTGCATAACAGCTGTGGCAATATGATATAATAAAAAGTGCAGTGATTTAGCAACAAGGAGGTTGGGAATTCTCATCTTGGCTCATTCACAAGGATATTAAATGACATCCTAAAATCCTAGATAAGAAAGCCACACATGAGAGCCCAATCATATGACCTGTCTTTAATAGTCTGCCCTGTGAGTCTCTACTGGTGTGTAGAAATCACACAACATATAGAAAATTTGCATGAGAGTGGAAGCTTTGCCCAGAATTTCCCATTCTTAGTCTCAGAGAGCAAGCATCATATGAAGAAGGACTCTGGTGTATGTAATGTAATGTAAGCTTTAGTTGGCTTAGGCAGAAAAAAATGTTAAGTAACTTGCAGACTTGCTAAGAAAACTGAATCAACTAGATTGCAGCCTGAGCTTCCAGGAAAAGCTTTCTGATTACAACACAACCAGACTACAGGAAGACCTGTTGCCTTTACCATGATGGGAACCCTAAACCAGGAGGTTGCCTGTCTGTTTAGAAAGCTGCAACCACTGTTCCTAACCCCAGGAACACTTTGTCTCTATTACAGTCTGTGTCAATATAGTAAATGCCTCATGTCCTGGCCCTGGCCCAAGTCTCTGATTGGCAATCTAAGTCTAAGAAACAGTCTTGGGATTCACCTATCCAACCGCTGAGTGTGCCACCTGAGGTTTGGAGCATGTGCCAACAGGCCAGTCCATTGTGTATACTGCTGACAGTTATTTGTGATAAATAATGCTTGTATGTTTTTTCACACTTGCAGAGATATTTTCACTGAGAGATATCATTCAATTTATAAATATTATTTCTGACTGTTGACTAAGAAAGTATAAAAAATAACTTAAAATTCAGAAAACTAATTTGAAACTTGGGATTTCCCCTTCCAGCTTTGCGCATTTTGTCCACATTGTTTTTTTTTTGTTTGTTTGTTTGTTTTGTGTTGTTATTTTGTTTTGTTTTCCATCTGTCTTTTCCCCTTGAGGACATCCTCCACCTTTTCAATTTGATGTGCTCTTTGCCATGCAGACCTGTGAATGAAGAGTCAGAGCCCTCAGAAGTTGATGCTGCTGGCCGATGGCATGGAGTCTATGTCAACAGAACATCTTCAGCTCCTTCAGAGTCTGCAACCACTGTAAAGTCACTGATTAAGTCATTTGACTTAGGACATTCAGGTATTTTATAAAAGTCTGCATTTAAACTCTAGCCCACATATCAAGCATGTCTCTGTTACACTGGCCCCAACTGATGGAACCAAGCGTTCACTCTAGCTCATGCCACTCTTGCTGAGGCTGTGAGGTCATGGGTAATACTGAGGCAGCCTCATTCCTTCTTCTACTTCCTGTAGTACCCCTTCATTCCTTCCCTGCCTCACAGAGTCATCCCTTTCAGGGACACCTTCCTGTGTTCTGAGAACCAGCAAGGATGGCCAGCAGTTTTATCTCCCAGGAAACAAACCACCTGTGTGCGTTTGGCCCAGTTGTTGGGAGTCTCAACTATTCCTCACTTACAATATGCTGTTGGATGTCTTTCTGCTTGGTCTTACATGTGAGCTGTCTGTTGCATCTGATCTCGGATTGGTTGGCAGCCTTTCCTGGAATAGTCTGACTGACTCACAATTTCCCTTTGATTGTGCACCTTACATACAGGAGGCAATTACACATTCATACTTTGAGCATATGCACAAATATAGTATGTTAAAGAAACATTGTACTTCTGTTCATAATAGACATAGCTTCCTTCTTTTGACTGTCACAAATGTGCTCTGTGTTGGAAAACTGGAAAAGTGGTTAATGCTAAGATGATCTGCTTGTCTCTGCTAAAGTAGTTTCCAAATTGCTTAGATTAAGATTAGGCAATATATTTTGAGAGGCAGGAAAACCCAGTGAGTCAGTCTGTAGATAGAGCATGAGTAATCAGTAATGATTTGTGCATTAACGTTCCTGTTGCTTCTCCCCGAGAGAAAGCTCATCACATATTCCCTTTCCTCCAATGTCGATGTCTGAGACCAGTTCTCAGTTCACTTTTTCTTTCTCCAGCTCTAGTGCAAAGGACAGAAGGATAAGAGAGTAACCATTATTCCTAACATTGTGGGAGTCCTGTTGCTTTGTCTTGAGACAAGGTCTCTCTACGTAGCACTGGTTGTCCTGGAGCTTGCTGTGTAGATCAGGCTGACCTCTGCCTCTCTCCCAAGTCCTGAGTCCTGGGTGCTGGGTCTAACTTGTACGCCACTACTTTCAGCTCATCGTGAGATTTTTTAAGTCACCAAAAAAAGATAACATCAAAAACTACTGTTTGCAATTTTGAACTGGATTTAAGCATTTATGTTCCAATCTCTTCTTGGCAGGTGGAGCCGGACAGAGTATTTCTGTCCACAAGACTCCCAGAAGCCCCCTGAGTGGGATCCCAGTGAGGACTGCTCCAGCAGCTGCTGTCTCTCCAATGCAGGTATGAAGAACCCCAGAGGCAGCTCTTTGTGTAAACACCTGAGGGTGTTCTTTGAGCATATGTGTGTGTGCCTGTGGAGCAAGAGGACTTATAGATTTAGAGTATACATCCCTCCAGTACTCATTTCACTTTAGTATTGGAGTGTAAGACCTGTGACAACAGAGATACTTGGTATTTTGTTCACTACTAGGTCTCTTGGCTAACATAGTAGGTGGCAGTTGTCACATCACAGTAGAGCCCAATGAATTTCTGTTTAATCAAGTGGAGGATTATATCAAAGGAACTTCTAATGTTAATCTTTATTGAAATAGCCATTCTTTTCTAAAGCCCACATCTAGATCATAGTTACTTAATTACTCTTGATGGCTGTTTCTATCATTGTAGATTTAACTTAGTACAAAAACAGAACAGTGAAGGTCCTTGTGCAAACTTTTGACGTCTTGAGGCACTATTTCTGTATGAGAGCGTATCAGGATTCATTTAAAAATGTTGGAAATTGCTCTAGTTAGCAGAAAGGAATTTAGTTCAGAGGCTTTGGTACTTCAAGACTGGAAGAGATAATAAAGCCTTGATGAGCTTGTGGGAAAGGCTTTCTGACATCTCAAGTTGCCCCTTAAACATGCTTCTGTTTTTGCTTGATTCAGAACATCCTTCACTAAGAGTTTACTTAGGACCATGGCCTCTGTCAAGACCTAAGATCAGCTTCAGGACTATATACTACCATATGTGCATCCAGGCCAGCAAAACCCTTGCCTCATAATACCCACAGCTGTGGGACCAGACACTAGAGCTCCTCTACAACAGGAAAGCAAATGCTTCCACAGCCAGCAGAAGAAGAAAAGGTCAGCTGTACCCTCCTGGCACCTTCCAGAGTTTTGAGAATGGGCCTGTCTGACAGAAGCCGGGTGACATGCTGAACCAAGCTAAAGAAGTTTAGGAAGCATATCCTTTAGCTCTCCAGTCTCTTATAATAGTGAGCAATGAGGGAGCTAGTCCTTAGGACTCCAGAAGTCCATTCCTAGAAGTGGGATGTGTACTACTAAAAAGGGGAGATGGATTGTCTCTGCCCTTGCACATTGAAACACTTGATAGATGTGTTCCTTCCATGTATACTTTGTTCACATATAAAGTACTGTTTCCCAAGATTTCTGACAGTCGGTACAAGTCATGGATTTCAGTAAGTGAGGTGACACTTGGTTTTACTCTGTGGGCTGTGCATTTTCTCATACATGACTATGTCATGTTGTTTTACATCTTCCAGGTATGTGCTTATATTCATGCTGACCACTTTTCTATGTTTTTTGGCCTTTTTCCTGTTTATAAGACACTTTGATGCATTTCCTTTAACCTATATGTTTATACAGAATGCTCCTATTAGGGGCTGAAGAGATGACTCGTGGTTAAGTGGACTTAGTACTCTTACAAAGGACCCAGATTCAGTTTCCATCACTCACATGAGCCTCACACTGTTGGTAACTCCAGCCTCTTCAGCAGGCACCTGTACTCATGCATATACCTACACACATAGCAAGCCACATGCCTTTTTTTTTTTTTTTTTTTAAGGAGTGACTGTTTTATCTTGTAACATTGTAATTTCCTTTTACTGAAGACATGGTTTTTCTTGTTTTTCCTGAAGCGTTTCTACTAAAGAGACCCAGTTCTGTGTTTTCTTCCATGGTTTTTGGGATTTTTGTTATCATTTAAGTATCTTTCTATTAGCTTATTAAAATAGTCTTCCTTAGTATCAAAGAAGCCTTTATTTTGTTAAAGAGTTTTTCTTTTTGGCGGGGTCTCATTGTGTAGCCATGGCTGGCCTAGAGCCTCCTATGTAAACCAGGCAGGCCTTGAATTCACAGAGATCTACTCACTCTGCCTCCCAGATATTGAGATCAAAAGCATGCACCACCATGCCTGCTCATTTGTTAAGTTTTTAAAACCACAGAAACATGAATTTGTGTCTAGGTACTGTTCCCACCTTCACCAACTCCTGGAAGCAAAAATAAATCTTTTGAGGAAGGCAGTGTCAAATAGGAACCTTACCTCACAGTTATTCTCTCTCTCTCTCTCTCTCTCTCTCTCTCTCTCTCTCCTTTCTTCCTTCCTTTCTTGTCTTGTTTGTTTGTTTTTTGAGACAGGGTTTCTTTTTGTAGTCTGGCTGTCCTTGAACTCAGAGATGCACCTGCTTCTGCCTCCCAAGTACTGGGATTAAAGACTTGTACCACTCCCACCTGGCACAGCTATTTGTGTCCAAAATCAGAGTCCTCTAGTCAGTTCATATAATCCCAGGCACATAGAATAGATGACCCTGAAAGAGTAAAACTCACAACAAAGGAGTTGGAGAGATGGCTCAGAGGTTAAGAGCACTGGCTGCTCTTTCAGAGGTTCTGAGTTCAATTCCCACAACCAGATAGTGACTCACAGACATCTATAATACGATGCCTTGTACTGGTATGCAAACATACATAGAAGCAGAACGCCATATACATAATAAAAAATCTTTAAAAAAAGTCACAACAAACAATAAACAACAGAAACAGGCATAGCAGATCCATATATTAATGGTATTAGACACAGATTTTTAAGAGAAGAGATGAATTCAGCCAAGAAAATAAATACCAGCACAAACAACAACTATAAAAAAGAACCCATTAAAAATAACATGACTTAGGCTGAGTGTGGTGGCACATGACTTTAATGCCAGCACTAAGAAGGCCAAGAAAGGTATATCTCTCAGTTCAAGGCCAGCCTGATCTACAGATCTAATTCTAGGACAATCAAGGCTACACAGAGAAACCCTGTCTCAAAATAAAATAAAATAATAACAACCTGCCCCCCCAAAAAATCAAATCACATGACTTAAATAAAAACTCAAATGTATAAATTAAGTTATAAATTAAACATTTACTAGGGACATTTGAGGGACTGACTACAATACAGCAGAAATAGTTAAGCTGAAATGCAGATAATAATGGAAGAATGAGCCAGGTGGTTGTGGCACTCACTTTTAACTCCAGCACTCAGGAGGCAGAGGCAGGCAAATCTCTGAGTTTGAGACCAGCCTGGTTATGAAGCAAATTCCAGGACAGCCAGAGCTGTTGCACAGAGAAAACCCATCTTGAAAAGAAAAGACAAAACAAAAGGTGTATATTGGGGTGGGGTGGGGTGGGGGTGAAAAGATCTGTGGAGGGGTTCCTAGAGAGGGATGGGATTAGAGCTGGCAGGAGAGAGATGTAAAGAGATGAAGCCAAGAGTTTTGAGAGCTGATGGAAGAGTCCAGCCATAGGCAAGAATGACAATGAACCCAAGCTAGAAGTGTACAGAGAGCCACATGCGGGTGCATCAGTTAAAACTACTAAAGACAGAAACACTATAGAACACTCAGGGCTGGACCTCTGGTGTCAAGGGAGCCAGGACAAGACAGTTTCTCCATAAAGTGACAGAGCAACTGAAGGAGAATAATTGCTTCCAGGGATTCCTTTTGACCTCCCCTGGTATCCTCACACACAGCACACACACATAGACACATAGAACTAAAAATAAATAAATAAACCTTTTTTTAAAAAAATCTCATATAATGATAATAAAATATTATAAATTATCACTTTGTGCTAATAACTTTGAAAAATCTTTGAAAGTCATAAAAGTTTATGTTTATTTTAGTAGCCAGGAGTTTAAATTATTTCTACAAAGGAAACATCAGACCCAGAATGCTTAATAATAAAATCTCAAACATGTAAGGAGGGGAATAACATCAGTTAATCATGGATTCAAGGAAAGACTAGAAAGAAAGTGATAAACTTTTCAACTCCTGGGCCAGGGTTATATTACTTCTGGTAAGAACAGAAAAGACAGGACAATTAAAAGGTGAGTCTCTCATGAACCTTCATGTATAATCTTGAACAAAATTTTCTCAAACCTAATTGAACAGTGTATGAAAAACAAGTCAAAGGATATTTGTTCCAAGAATGCAAGGTTTTAACTATTGAGAAGAATCAGGAATTCACCATAGTAACAAAGAAAGAAAATATGTATTCTTGTCTTAGTGGGTAACCACCAAGTGTATTTGAGAAATACATTTGTGACATTGGCAATTGAACATACTAGGCAAGCTCTCTACCACTGAGTTATGCCCCCAGCTCTTGTTTTGTTTTTTGAGATAGGGTCTTGCTAAGTCTCCCAAGCCCTAGGTAAGTCTTGAATTTTTAATCCCTCTGCCTCAACCTTCTGAGTATCTGGGGTCACCATGAGTCTTGGTTACTTTTCTTGATTTAAACAAAGAGCTGGAGTGTAGTTCTGTAGTGAGTGCTTGCCTGGTATAGACAAGGCCATGGAGTCAGTCTCCAGCACTACAAATAAAAAAGAAAACCCCTAGGTTGTTGAGATGGCTCAGTGAGTAAAGGCATTTGCCTTTTAAGCCTAACCAGACTTCATCAAGGTAGAAAGAGAACCAGCCTTGTGGTTCTCAACATGCCATATTGTCCTGTGATTACCACACTTTTTCTTTATGCCTGTGTCTTAATTTGGATTTCTATTGCTGTGATAAAACATCATGACCCAAAGCAACTTGGGGAGAAAAGGGCTTATTTCATTTCAGAAACTCAGGGCAAGGCAGGGAACTTACAGAGGCCACAGGAGAGTGCTGCTTACTGGCTTACACCCCATGGCTTGCCCAGTCTGTTTCCTCATACCATTCAAGACCACCAGCCCACGTGGGTTGGACTCTCCCACATCAATCATTAATCAAGAAAATGTCCTGTGCAGGCTTGAATCTTTTGAGGAACTTTCATTTTATTTTTCTCTAGCATCAATATATGCCCACCAGTAGTGCATACAGGCCTAATTTTTTTTCATATCAGCACCAATACTTGCTATTTTCTTTTGTTTTTAAATAATGGTCTTAAGAGTTGGAGTGAAATGATATCTCCTGGTTTTGATTTGCATTTTCCTGGTTGGTGATATGAATCATTTTTGTGTATACCCTTTGACCATTGAAATCCAAAAGGTAGATAGGTGTGTGTGTGTGTGTGTGTGTGTGTTAGTGTTATGTGCATATGTGAATGCGTGTCTGTGCAGGTTTGCATGTTTGTGCACGTGTAGGTGAAGGTCAGAGGTCAACATCAAGTATCTTCCTCGTAGCTTTCCATCTTATTTTTTGACATGAACATGGAGCTGACCAATTTGCTAGATTAGCTAGTCAGCAAATTCCCCCTTTTCTGCACCCCTCCCCATCACTCCAGGATTCTCCTGTCCCTGCTTTCCAGTGCTGAGATCATAGGCATGCTGTTCCACCTCACTTAAAACTCTATGTTTACATTTATCCTTGAGAATGTATGGAATATTCCAGAAAGGATATTCATAAAGCAGATTAATAACAATTACCACTGGGAAAAAGAAGTGGTAGAAGTGAACTGGGGATTAACTTTTCATTATTTGTTCTCTTTAAGCCAGTTGGACTTATTACAACTTGAAAAAATACGTTGTTTTAAAAGCTCCCTAGGGTGTGACCATGTGCTTAAGAATTGTGTGCAAGCACAGCAGTGTGCACTTGTGCACTGCTGTTCTCATGGGGCGAGCTCATCATGCTGATGTGCCCTTTGATTTTGTTTCATTTTGTTTTGTTTTTTGACAGAGACATTCAACCTACAGCACCATGCGGCCAGCCAGCAAAGGGATGGCTCAGCGCTTGGATTTGCCAGATCTGCCCCTCTCAGGTAAATGACTAAAAACACAATACTTTTGTCCTATTTTAGTGGTGTTTACTTTTCCATTGCTTGAACATGAACTCGGTGGCATTTATTTCTGATGATTCCATCCCCTTGGGGTGCACATTTTGCCCATCCGATGCAAATGTGCAGCTCACACTAGAAGAAATGCCTCCTTCTTGCAGCCCTCCTCAGTGTGTGTGGATGCAAGACAGATGCCGGCCTGGCTGGATTTGATTTTTGTTTGTTTGGTTGGTTGGTTGGTTGGTTGGTTGGTTGGTTGGTTGGTTGGTTGGTTGGTTGGTTTTTGGTGTTTCCAGACAGGGTTTCTCTGTGTAGCTCTGGCTGTCCTAGAACTCACTCTGTAAACCAGGCTGGCCTCAAACTCAGAGATTCATCTGCCTTTGCCTCCCAGGTGCTGGGATTAAAGGCTTGTGCCATCATTACCTGGCTTTCTCCCCACCCCCCTCTTTCTCTTCTTCTTTTTAATAAATGTAATCTGAAGACAATACCTTCTATTCTTAAAAAACTTACTATCTTATGCAAAAACCCTTGTCTGGCTTTGTGTTTGTCCACTGACTCCAGGCCTTAAAATGCACCATTTTTAGCCTCTTCCCCTTGTTGCACTGCATCCTTTTTAAATTCACACCCTGACAGTGTAGCTGAGGTTGCAATTAGTGGGTTTCATAGGTCACATCCTCATTCCTGCTGGCCTCCAGTGCTGATGGCACAGAGCGGTTGCCAATAAAAGGGAGGTCAGAGAAGCCCTGCTTGGCCTTGAGTCTCTCGGCACTGCCATTCCTATCCCAGCTTTGACTTTGGTTTCTTCATCTCTAAGATGGAAACATTTCTAGGGCTGGAAAGATGGCTCAGCACTTGCTGCTCTTACAGAGGACCTGAATTTGCTTCCCAGCACCTGCATCAGGTTGCTTACTGTCATTGTAACTCCAGGGGATCTAACACCCTCTTCTGGCTGCTGGAGGCACCTGTACTCATGTGCACAAATTCACACTCATACACATATACATAACTTAAAATAAAATTGACTTAAAAATCAAAAATAAAAAGGAAGAAGAAGAAGCACCTTTACTTAATAGGGTCACTTGAAGGATTGGATTAATTCATTTAAAACACTGAGGACCCTGTCTGGTTTGTTGTGGGCATCATAGAAATACTTGTTGCTAATCATTTTCCTTGCTGTTGTCTGATGAGCCTGTTCAGAAAAAAAGGACAGTGCTATTTCTCTAGTCAATGTTAGTGAGTTTTCTGCAGGCTTGGTTCCAGTCCCCTGTACTAAGCTAGTATCACAGTGAAGCAAGACACAAAAAGTTATGCTTACTCTGTGTTGTGATTTAAGTATGCAACAGCAGTACATCTAAAAATACCCATAGCTTGCTTAATAGCTACATTATCACAGATAATCATCTCAGCCTTCAGCAACTAAGCATCTTTTTCCTGGCAGAGGCTCTTGCCTTGAATGTTGATGTCTACTGACTTTGGTCAGGTGGTACTTGCTGAAGCTGGATTAATGGTGGGAATTCCTAAAATAAGACACCAGTGGCACCTTACCTTGCCTTTCCCAAGGGCCTTTTCCCACATAGCACTTCTTTCCAAATCAGACTCACTCCCCTCAAAAGGTGGCTTTCCTCCTGAGTTCATGTCATGTTCTGAATCATTTGATTTATTTCAAATGTTCACATCACCTTTACCAGGTAGGGATTCTCTCTCAAGGAATTACTTTCTTTGCTCCTCGTAAGAAACAACTCATCACTGAGATGCGGCGGTTCAGTCGCCACCTTGGGTTCCATTGCCAGCCTAGTGCCTTTGCTGTTTTCACACCTTCAGTGATTCCCCACCACTGACATCTGAGACCCCTCAAAGTCATCACCGAGGGCTGGGATCAGCTGCTTCCAAACTCCCATCTATACTGAAGTTTTTACTTCTTCCCACGAATATTCCTAGTGGCATCTGAAGTCCTGAACCTTTCCAGAAAGCTTTCCGTTTATTTTTTTCTCAGATTCATGGGAGGAATCATTATATGTTGCAGCTGAAGCTTGTGAAATGTTTGCTTAATAAAACTCGAAATTCAGAATTACTCCTTGATCCCCAGACTGTGGAGTGGCTTCTATGTCAGGAAGTTTGTAAAAAGTCAATAAAAGAACATTAAATTTGTACATCTCCATCAGTATTCTTGAGTGACCAGCCAGGAGTGCTCTCAGTGGACAGTGAGGGTGGTGGTGTTTATTTTGCTTATCACTACATGTGTAGGTAATGTATGTGTAAATATGCACTACCACAGCACATATATGGAGGTCAGAAAACAACTTAGTGGAGTTGGTTCTCTCCTGTTACTTTTACATGGTCTCCAGAGATTGAACTCAAGTCATCAGACTTGTGCAACAATCGCCTTTACCCCCTGATATATCCTGTAGGCCCTGGACAGAGTGTTGTTGCTGTTGTTGGTGTGTGTGTGTGTGTGTGTGTGTGTGTGTGTGTGTGTGTGTGTGTGTATGTATGTATGTATGTATACGTATTGTATATGTGTGCAGCATGTGTGCAGTGCTTCGAGAGGCCAGAAGAGGATTCAGAAACCAGAATCTAGTACAGACACGTGTGAGCAGCTATGTGAATGCTGGTAACTGAATTCAGGTCTTCTGCAAAAACAGACAATGTTGTTACCCTGAGCTATCTCTCCAGCCCACAGAGGAGTTTTGAAAAGAATTTTTGTGTGAGAGAGCCATTGGTTTACAGAGTATTATAAAGAGATGCACTGCCATCTAGTTTTCGCTGTTTCATTTATGGAGCATAGGCATCCCAGGGCTTGGTAAATGAGTATGGCTACAACTCAAAGGCATTCAAGTCTTAGCACCTCTTTCCCAGAAATGGAGGGTGGAGGCCAAAACATAAGATTGAAAACCTGTCTGACTTAAATATATGCATCATTATGTAATATAGCACATACTCTATTATGTGGTGTAAAATGGGGAGTAGTTTACTTGCATGACTATTACTAGGTGATTTTTTAAAATTGTGGTAAAAGCTATACAACATAAAATGTAGTTCTCTGTTAGTGATTGTAGTTTTTATGTCTTTTTCAGTCTATTCTACCAACTTCCAGATTTCCTAATTATCTAAAGAACCATTCTTTTGATTGACAAGATAAATAATAAAGTCGAGACCACAATTACTGTTGTGGAGCTCATTGGCTGCCATCCTCCTTCTTACCCCCCCCCAGGCACCTGTCTCCTGATGATGACTCTATTTACTATAATAAAGGACTGCATAGTGAAAATTGTTTGCTTCTAGCTATTTCCAGCAACTGCTTGTCAACACTGAGGTCATCCCTAACTGCAGATTAATGTTCTGTTTTTGTTTTGCTCTTCAATGATGTAGAATTGTTTTTCTCTGCTTTTTGGACCTAATTGGCCTCACCCCCCAACTTTGCCCGTAATTGGTGGCTATTAGCTGAAGAGGTGCTGTTTTTTTCTGTGACCGGGTGACAGGAGGTGGCCCCAGCCGGGCCCCAGCTGTCCTGTGATGTTCAGCTAAACCACCTAAGTCTCACAGCTCCAGCTCCCACTCTGTATGAGCCAGCCTCAAATACTTTCTGTTCTGCTCTGCTCCACTATTATGATCCTGTGAGAGATATCTGGAGGATCCCGCTCATTTTTGTGCCTGTTCCCACTAATACTAATACAACAGCAGAAAGGAGCCTTACAAAGAAAGGGTTCTGTTTGGTTTAGTGAACTTTATAAGCCTGTAATTGGAACAGCTTTTTCTCCTGCGGGCTGTTGTTCTTGGTTTCCCACTTTTTGTCTGCTGCTGTCTGTGACCTGACAAGTCACGTGAGACGTTTTCCTACCAGCTTTTTCTCTGGGATATCCGCAGCATAAAGCAAACCACACTAGTTAGAGGCAGAGCGAGAGAGAGGAGTGGCGGTCCTAACTGGGTAGCTGCACAGGGCTCTTAGAAGGGCCCTGATCACTGTCTGAGAGTTTAGAATCATTTTTGAACAAAGGACTGCTCTGGCACTAGACTCTTCCATTCTCTGCTGTGTGGGTATTTTACCTGCATGTATGTTTGTGTACCACGTATGTGCCTGGTACATGTGGAGGCCAAAAGAGGGTGTGTTGGATCCCTCAGAACTGGAGTTACAGATGGTTGTGAGCCACCATGTAGGTGCTAGGAATTGAACCTAGCCAGGGCTTCTAATCACTGGGTCATTTCTCCAGCCCCAGTAGATGCTTTTTAAAAAGATATATTTTATATTTATTTCTTTGTTTGCTGTTTTCTGTTGTTGTTGTCGTCATGTGTGAATGTGAATGTGGGTTTGTGTATCTGTGAACATAAGAGGGGGCCAAAAGAAGATACTGAGTGTTCCTATCATTCACTACCTAATCCTTTTGGAGAAGGGTCTCTCCCTCAATTTGAGTTTCTCATTTCCTTGGTGAAGCTATGTGTTAATAATAAGCACCAGCAATTCTCATTGTCTCCATCTCATCAAGACCGGTTACAGAAGTGCGCAGGACATTCTAGCTTCCTGGGATCTGAACTCAGGTCTTCATGATTGCGCAGTGAACAGTCTGAACAACTGAACTATCCATCCACCCTGGCACAAGGTTTTATAGTTTATATGGGTAGTCCTGCCTGGAGAATTCTTTCTAGAAAATATCATACCCCTATTTGCATTTTTATTTATTCCAGAAACAAACAATTTATATGTGTGTGTGTATGTATGTATGTATATATGTATATGTAGGAGTATACCTATGTAGCTATGTCTTTGTGTTTGATAATAAAGTATGATAACCAGTCAGATTTCTTCCCTTTAGAAATGGGTGACAATGTTATTATTCACACAGATCTTCTGAAGGGAAGGGCTGAGGACCGGAAGTCAGACCCTTACCTCCGAAAGAGTCCTTCACTGGAGTCCCTGAGCAGACCCCCCTCTCTGGGCTTTGGGAATACCAGGCTGCTGAGTGCATCCACTGGGGGTCTGAAACCAAGCAAGCTCAGGTACCGGATTTTAATGTATGAGAAATGAGATGAACATCGTTCTCTTCCTTCTGTCTCATCCAGTCAGTCTACTTCTGAGTGACAGTGCTTAAGATATAGAACATATCTTCAGCAAATCTAATAAGGCACTGCATATTATTTTGGGACAAAATCAAGTGAAGGGCTGTACCTTTTTTAACTAGGGCCCCTGAGATGTATCAGTGAATAAAAGCTCTTGTCATGCAAGCCTGGTGACCAGGGTTCAATCTCAGGAACCCACAAAAAAGAGAACCAACTATACAAAGTTGTCCTCTGACCTCCACATGCCATAGCGCACACACACACACACACACACACACACACACACACACACACACACACACACACCAATAATGGCAGAACTTTAAAAAAGTTAAAGTTTTAGCTAAAAAGAGCTAGAGAGGTAGCCCACTAGTTAAGAGCACTTGCTGCTCTTGTAGAGGACTCAGGTTCAGTTCATAACACCCACATCAGATGGCTCTCAATTCCCTAAAACTTAATCTCCAGGGGATCTACCACCTTCTTCTGACCTCCACAAGCACATGTACACATGTACGCACACTCAGGCACACACATATACCCATAAAATAAATAAATTGACCTTTAAAGTTTAAGCAAAAGTACTTGAGGGGATTCCTATAAAGGTGAGTGAGTGATGGAACTCAACCCAGGGCCTGAAAGACACCCTGCTAAACATACAGCTGGCTCCTAGACAATACAGGTAGACACCTGGGGAGTTACAGCCATCAAAGCAGGTTGGAGCCCTGTTGCAAATAGTCTGCATTTCCAAAAAAGAGCTTCATACTTATTTTGGTAAGGCAGTGGGGAACCACTAAGTCTGTGGGATTGTGTTTTTGTTTTTGAGTAGTGATTAAGAGCAGACCTACTATTTAAGGAAGATTATTGAGAACACAGTGGCATAGAAGGAGGATTAGAGAGACACCTTTGAGATGGGCTTTTAAAGGGGCATTAGCAGAGACGTGTAGTATGCAGCAGAGGAGGAAACGAAGAGTGAGCTTAGGTGGTCACTAAGAGCCTTTCTTTGTACCCATGCTTCTGCCACCTCCTCCCTGCCAGTGCCCCTGGTCACCAAGGTCCCAGCAAACTTATCTGTTTTCCCTCTCCAGGATCTTCCCTGCTTTTCCATATTGTTAGTCTTCTGAATAACAAAACCCCTAGTGTCCTGCTGTGGACCTCTCAGAAGCCCTTGTGGCAGACATTGCACTACATCCTGCTCTTCTGTGTCTGCACAGTTTAATTCCATCCTACTCACCTTTGGAAGACCAAAGGATTTGCCATTAAAATTGGTAAATATGAGATGGCTCAGTAGGTAACAGCATCTTCTGTGAAAGCAGGGACCTAAGTTCAAATCCCGCTTCAGTGTTTTTCACTCACGTGGGTGTGTAGCTTTTCCCAGGGCCTTGCCTTGTGCTCCACCTAACAGTTCACCCACAAATGAGTCTAGAAAAACTGTCTACTTCAGGGATAAGAGCTTTGTAGTATAACCACATGTGTGTCTTATGGGAAGGTTTGTGAGTCTGAATACATTCGGATCAGATGCATCCTTGGATGTAACCAATATTTGATCCCAAATAGGTAAAGTCAAACATCTCAAGAGGTTTATAAAAGTCCCAGATACAAACCATCTGCTTGTCTGCATATTAACTAGTAAAACAGGTTTGAAGGACCAGAATTAATGCTACTCTCAAGTCAATGCCATAAACACACAGGAAAAGTTATGTATGTTGATCTGCTGTTTATAATATATCTTTCTTCATAAAAGGCCAAACTAGCGACCTTAGTTTCTTATTTCTTTTACATTTGTGTTATTTAGATTAAGCTATGACAGAATATAAATTTTCAGATATTGTTTAAATTGCAGTCGTTTTTATTTGTGTGTGCATATGCCACAATAAACATGTGGAAGTCTGAGGACAACTTCTACCTAATATAACTGTTCCATAAGTATCAACAAGGTTTCAGTTCAGGTCACTGGACTTAGCAGCAAGTGCTTTTACCTGCTGAACCATCTTGTCAGCCCTGGAATTTCTTCCATTAGAAACTCAGTCTGTAGCTATGCATAGTCATGCACACCTACAATTCCAACACTTAAAAAACTAAGGCAAGGCAGGGAGTGGAGACACACACCTTTAGTCCCAGCACTCAGTAGGCAAAAACAGGTGGATCGCAGTGTGGCAGCCTCTCCTGGTCTACAGAGTGAGTTCCAGTACAACCAGGGCTACACAGAGACACACTGTCTCAAAAAAATAAAAAAATAAAAAAGCTGAAGCAGGAAATGAGGAGTTTAAGGCCAGTCTGGGGTACATAATGAGTCCCTATCTCAAAATAAAATAAAATTTCAGCCTTTAGTATTAAATATCTTGTAATCATTTAATTGCATAACATTGGGTCTTCATGTCTTGCTCTCCACTACACTTTTTGAGACACACTCTCTTATTGCACTTGAAGCTTGCTGTTTGGCTAGGCTGGGTGGCTAGTAAGCTCTAGGAGCCATCCATCTCCATTCCTCACCCTGGGGTCACAGGCATGATCAAACATATCTGCCTTTATGTTGGTATTGGGGATTTGAACTCAGGTCCTCTCTTTCACAGCAGGAGCTCTTACCAACTGAGCCATTATCCCAGCCCCATACTTAAGTATTTTTTTTAATGGTAAATTATTTAGCCTCCCATTAATTCAGAACTATTTTCTCTAACTAGTCTGTTATAAAGGATGACATAATTCCAGGTATGGCCACCATGACTTAATTTTATAAATTGTCCAGGATGTTGGATGGTTTTCTCTGTCCCACTGGTCCCCCTGGACCATTTTCTCTCCTGTCCACTGGATCCCAACAGCTGCTTATGAAATAACACTCTGAGGCTTAATATTAAAGTTTAATTGTTTGGCTAGCTCTGACTAGCTCTTTCTTATAAATTAACCTATTTCTATTAATCTATGTGTTGCCATGAAACTGTGGCTTATCAGTAATGCTCCAGCGTGTTACTCTTTCAGCGGCTACACAACGTTTTCCTGACTCTGCCTTCCTTCTCTCTTCCTCTTTGCTTGGGTTTACCACCTAGTTATATTTTGCCTGGCCATTGGCCAAATCAACTTTGTTTATCAACCAATAAAAGCAACACATATTTGCAGCATACAGTAGGACATCCTCATCAGTAGGATAGTTGACACCAACCTCTACCCTCCACACTCATGCACATACATATGTGCCTTCATGCATACGTTCTCACTCTCCACACACATACAAAAGTTCTCTTACTAAGTTTCCTCCAGAGGCTTGATGATTTTAGCTTATGGAGTAAACTGGCAATAGGTCAACAAGGAAAACTTGCAAAATTTTGTCAATGTGCAGAAACATGTACAAAGTACGAGATTGAAAGGAAAAGTTGACTAGTCAAAACCTAAATACCCTCTTCCTGGGAAGAGGAGGAGAGGGGGATCAGGTGGGTTTTAGGAAGGTGGTGAACTACTTTTTGAGCAGACGACTTGGAACATAGTTCTGTGCTCTAGTTGTGGAGCTTGACCGGGGTTTTCTTCCATGGTTGATCTGGCCGATAAATGATGACTGAAGGCAGTTGTGTTCTTTTCCTGGCCCGGTCAGACACAGGGGAGAACTTTGCAGAAAGTTTTGTGTCCATGCTGAGAAGGGGAAGAGCCAAGGATGGGCCAGTGGAGGAAGGCCCTTTTATTAATTAGCTTTCCGTAGTATAACCTGAGATGACTAATCTATCCAAAGAAAAGGTTTGCTTTGGCTCATGGTTTGAAAGTTGTAGTCTGTGATCTCTTGGTCCTGTTGCTTTGGACCCGTGGTAAGGTGGGAACATGTAATATTACATAACTGCAATACTTTTTCTTACTGTGGTGTATCCCATGAATGTGATTGGATATCAACTTATCTGTTTGCTTGTTGGCATGTAGTTGGTTATCTTTTTACCAATATAAGAGTATATCCTTGAACATTCTTGAGTCTGTGTCTCAATTATATCTATCTACCTTAGTGGTAGATTGATAACTCCTATTCCATTGTAGTTTTTTACCCTTTGGTGAGTCTTTCTTTCCCTGCCCTGTTGTGGATAGTATTAGGGAAAAAGAATACTGTACAAAACTGCTATAGCAGTATATTTCTGAATCCATGACCCCTGCTAGGAGGTACTGTATTATCTGAAATCTCTTACTAGAATTTGAGTAATTTTGGTTAGCATAAAAATTAATGTCATTGTTGAGAGAGGCCAAGGATGGGTTGCTAAAACTTGCTCTTAGGATGCTAAGATATTATACTAGTGATGTCATCTCAACTTTGGCTCATCCTATGCTCAGAATCTATGGTCCATAAACTGGGCAAAGACTCTGAGTCAATCATTTTATTTTATGAATTTCCCCTTCCTCTCTACTCCCAGAACCTCTCGTAACAGCTAGTTTACAGTCTTACTCTGCTCTCTTCATTTGCCTTTTACATATTTAAGTGTAGCCATGTAATGTGTAGAGGGGAGGTTTGTTTTCTTTTGGTTTAGTTTGGTTTGGTTTTTTGAGACAAGGTTTCTCTGTGTTCTCTGGCTGCCCTGGAACTTGCTCTGTAGACAAGGCTGGCCTCAAACTCACAGAGATCCACCTACCTTGGCCTCTCACATGCTGGGACAAAAGTTGTGTACCACCATTGCCTGGATGACATAATGTATTTTTTATTGTGATGAATTTGGCTCTTTCTTTAGTGTACCATTTGAATAAACATACATTTTGACTTTTTCTTATCTAGTTTTTTTTTTTTTTTTTAACACACTTGAGGGTTTTAAAAGTCAGCATCTTAACCAGGCAGTGGTAGTACATACTTTTAATCCCAGCACTCAGGAAGTAGAAGCAGTCAGATTTCTGTGAGTTCCAGGCCAGGTTGGTCTACTAAGTGAGTTCTAGAACAGCCAGGCCTATACAGACAGACCATGTCTTGGAAAACAAAACAAACAAACAAACAAACAAAGCCAGCATCTTGCCAGATGTGGTAGTACATGCCTATAATCCTAGTGGAGGTAGGAAGATCAAGAGGTCAGAGTCATCCTTGCCTATAGAGTGAATTCAAGGCCACCCTGAGCCGCATGAGCCCTTGTCTCAAAAGAAGAACAAAACAACCATATCCCCAGCACCGTCCTTAACCATGTGTTCTTCTTTGTAATCAGTGTTGAAAGAAGAGACCCTCTGGCAGCCTTGGCCCGGGAGTATGGTGGCTCTAAGCGCAATGCACTCCTGAAATGGTGTCAGAAGAAGACAGAAGGTTATGCGGTAAGAAGCAGTGTTGCCAGCTGGGCATTCTGGTAGCCCTATTTGCATATAATATCATCTCTGTTCTCTCATCCATGACTTCCAGGGAGGGTATGATATTTGTATACTGTACTATGCAAAGGCCTCTCAATGAGAAGGGGGTTGGGGGGGACAGAAGGCCAGTCTGCAATTCACCCCACAGACTGTCTTATCTATGAGTACTCACACCTGCTGTGGGAAGGGAAGCTTTTCCCGCACACCACCCTAAAACATCTCCCCAAAGAGGGCAGCTTTTCCTCATTTGCATAAAGGCTCCCCAAGTTTTTCCATCTGTTTTTTGTTTTTGTAGCTCTAGGGGTTTTTTTATTTAGTTTAGTTTTGTTTGTCTAGGGTGGTGTTTACTTTCTGAGAAGAGCAGACAAGGAAGTGATACCTGATATAGGTTTAAACTTTTTATTATGAAATAACATACACAAAGGTAAAAGTGCATGAATTAGAGTCTCATTAATCATTATGAAATTAAAAACCCAGTCAGAAACCACATCCTGAAGTAGCATCTCCAGTTCCCACAAGCCTGTCATGACTTTCCAGCCAGAGTCCCTTGCTGTTCTCTGAGGTACCTGTGTGCCCCTTTCCTTCTCCTTGTAAAGGTGTGAGTGCTTGAGTAGTGATGTCTTTTTTCAGCTTTTAGGTGGAAGGAATGAAATATAATATTTGCATATTTTCACACAATATTTTTAGTAAGTTTGTCCTTTGTTGCTATAATTTATTTTCCTTGCTATTTGGTAACTTTACTTATCTACTCTTGATACTCTTATCTGTGCTTAATATGCTCTTAGGGATGGAGTGCCTAGGCCTTACTGCATGCTCATATTCAAATATAATAGGTGATGTCAAGCAGATTTCTAGGTAATTCTGTGTTGTCCATCCCACCAGCCATTTATGGGAGATCTGTTTTTGTGTGTTCTTAGCAACATGCTGTTTTCCTCACTCATGGTCTTTGGGTAGAGGTATAGTAGTAACTCGGTATGGTTTTGATTTTTGCTAGCCTGTTGACTAATGAGATTGAGCCTATATAATTTGGACAGCCTCTCTGTAGAGATGTAACTAGTCAGGCCTTTCATCTTTATGTATTTACTTTGTATTTACTTTCAGCCCTCAGGATGGAGCATGGAGCCTCCTACAAATTACACACTCTGCCACTGAGCTGCTTGCCAAGCTCCTGCCCATCTTTAAAATAATTTTAGGGTTTTTTTTTTCTTTAATGTTTTTAAAAATTCTTTGTATGGGCTAGAGAGGTGACTCCAGGTTAAGAACACTCCTTGCCCTTCTAAAACACCTGAGTTCAGTTCCCAGCTCTCACACAGTGCCTCACAACCATCTTTGCCAGGGCATCTTGACACCTTCAGATGCACATGCAAAGGTGCAGGCAAGACAGTCATGTACAGGTAAAATAAAACATAAATCTTAATTTAAAAGTCTGTCTATATTCTGTATATAAGTTCTTTATTAAATAAGTGTATCACAGATTCTTTAATATGACTTGAGAAATTTCACTCTTGAGAATCAAAACTCTTAATACAATTTTTCGTGTTTTTTTTTTCAATTTTCATGTTTGTGTGCTTGTATGTGGACACATGGCTGCCACCACAGTGTACCTGTGGAGATCAGAAGACAGCTTTTTAGAATCAGTTCCGTCCACATTTATGTGAGCTTCAGGAATCAAAGCAGGTGCTTCTCCTGCTGAGCCATGTCTTGCCATCCCAGAGCTCTTAATTTGTACTAAATTTGATTAGTTCCAGATTTTCTCAAGGGGTCAAGTGCTTTTTGTATTCTGCTTAGGAATCATTTATCTGGGGGCCAGGAGTGATGGCACACACCTTTAATATCAACACTCTGAAGGTAGAAACAGGCTGACCTCTAAGTTCTAGGTCAGAAATTTATACTGAAGCTTTATTTTTCTATAGTTAGCACTAAGTGGATACTCCTTTTACATTCTTTCCCTTGGCTTCCAGTCTCCTTTTTGCTAACACTTCGGAAGATTCTGACATTGTAACACACCTTCCTAAGCTCAAGCTTTTGAAAGTAGCCAGGACTGAGAAAGTAGCTAGAAAAAAACCATGGTTTGACTAAGACTCAGCTCAGTTAGCTGAGAAGCAGAGCTGAGATTCCTCCTGTTCTATTAACCATACAATAGTTTAAATATCAGGGTCTACCCAGAAATATTTATCTTGATATTTTTTTTTAAAATTCTCCTTTTATGTCACAAAACTTAAAATATGGTCATGTTCATGGGTAATAACCAAGGATCCCAGAGGACACACTTGCTTCTAGCCCATTTTTATCCCTCTAGCATTTCTGTTTACCCTGTGTAAGCCCATTCTAAGGTATGAAGTGTTTACCCTGTGTAAGCCCACTCTACAGTGTGAGCTGCCAACAAATGGAAACAAATGACAGTGTCTCTCCACTTGTCAGCCATGCTGCTGAGGGAATGGAGAAGCAAAAGAAGCAAGAGAATGCTGATTGTGTGTGTTGAGGGGCGGGGGAGGTAATGGAAAATGGAAGAAAACAATCAAACAGAGTAATTAGCCTCAGCTGTGGCTGAGCCCAGTGCGGTCATCTCTGGCTGGGTGCCGTCATTTCTCTCCTACAGAAGTGGGTCCAGGGAAGGGGCAAGAGGAGTTAAAAGACAATTACAATTTTCAGAATAAATTGGCCCTTTGTGGCATGAAGTTATAATTAAATTAGATGGAGGGAAGGAGATTGACAGTATATTTCCAGTCAATTGAGAGAAAAGTATTTCCTGCTATAGAAAAACTTCTTGTTGTTTTGTGACTATCTTGGATTAAGTTTTCAAAATATTTTTGTGTTTGATGAAACCCACAGCTTGCTGTGTTTGAAGAAAATTTTTCACTCATGGTTAAATGTCTGTAAGTTTAGGAAGAAGTATAAATCACACATGTGTTTCTCTTGCACCTTTGTCAAACTATTCTCTAGCTAGACCAGTTTGTACACATTGTACTCTGGACTGTTGCGTACTTACTCTCTCAGAATTAAGAGGCCAGAACCAATTCTTGAAAGTTCAGATGGTTCATAATCTTTAAAGACCAGTAGCCATATGAGTTTTTATTTCAAATAACTTTCTACCTCACTGTCTTCTGCCTGGCCAGGTGTTGCTTTGAAATAGACAAGTGTGTAAGGGAGGCTCTAAACACCAGTTCTCTGCCTCAGGGTCCCTGCCTGACAGCCATTAAGCATTGAATTACTGAGGTCCTGTTGGTACCCACAACATGCCTCGTGGGGTGCTCCGTGTTTGTGAGGTTGATGGTTGCAGATGCTTCAGCCAGTTGGGCTGAAGAGATCCTTTGCTTTTCCTTTTGCCTTCGTTCACCTGACCAGGATTGCATGGAATTGACTCCAAATCTCTGCAAAGCTCTCTGTTACCTCCTAAGCAGCACAAGGCATAGTTGTCTCACAGGGCACCTTGGCTGTGTTCCTAGGGCCCTGCCATGCCTGGATTCTGTCCAGGTCAGGTCAGGTCAGGTCAAAGTTAACAAGTGTGAAATCTTGTTAATTGAGTTTGGGAGCTGATTCTTTTTAGGGCCTCTGCCCTCAACATGTAGAAACAAAAACAGAGAATGCTGCTAAACAAATGCTGTTTAAACTGCTGCATCTACAGTCAGGTCACCCACAAACCTCATGGCTCCTTCTTGAGGCACATAACTGTCAAGAGAACACTTTAGGCTGGGGTCTTCCATGTTGCCCACATACCAGAATTGCCTGAACACCCGTCTTAGCCCTTTCAGGTTGTTACAGCAAAATACCACAGAACAGATGGTTTACAGACAATAGGGAGTTACTTTTCACAGTTAAGAGTTAGGAAATCAGAGATCAAGGAAAACCTATTCCTGTTTCATAGGTGACATCTCTGGTGGAGCCATTACATGGTGAAAGGGGTGAGACAATTCTCAGGCCCCTTTTGTAAGGACACTAATCCCATCAGGGGACCCAACCATCTCCAAAGGCCCACTTCCTAAAATCGTCGCCATAGCAAGCTGCAAAGTGGGATAATTTAAGGCTTAGGAAAGATGAGAAACTCAATCACCAAGATTGTTTCCTCCCAGAGCCTCCCACCAGTCACTGTGACTCACATTTTAGCTTCCCATCTCACAAGGCTGAAAGTAAGACTGAAAGGCTGTGGGAGAAGCAGTAGTTGAAAACTGGATGCTGTGTCCTAGATGTTACTTGTTTGTCATGTGCTGGACCCTGAGTTCAGCCCCCAGTGCCACATTGGGGATGCGGGGAAGAACAGATGGATGGGGAGATTTGATTGCTGCCCTCAGCATAGATGAGTGTTGCATCAGCCTTAGGCCAGCAGTGTCAGTAACACTTCTGATAGTTTTGATTTATGACAATTCTAGGGAAGGTAGAGTATCAGAGGTATACTTCCAAACCTGACCTGGGAGACAGTTAAGTGAGTGTTGAATATGAAGAAAGTAGTTTTAGAATACATTTAGAAGGTCACCAAAATAATTAGTCATACTGTTGATAGAAAAAACAAACACACACACACACACAATACAACACCACAGTCAAATTTGAGGGAGCATGTCCCAGCAAACACAGAGCTAGGTTACTCCAGGCCCCATGTTCCAGAGTAGAAAAGGTTTATAGTCAGACTTTCTTTGGACCACCTGTAGACAAAAGTTTCTGTTCCACCTGGTCCCACTTGAAATAAACACATGGATGCTATATTAAATTTAAAGTATTTGGCCGATGGGTTAGGCTTCTTATTGGCTATCTTTCTTTTAATTATTAACCCATTTCTATTAATCTATGTATTGTCACCAGGCTGTGGCTTACCCAAAATCCGGCATGTTACTCCTTCGACAGGATAGCATCTGTTGGTCGCCTCTCTCTGCCTCTCTCCCCAGCATTCTCCACATCTCCTAGCCCACCTGTCTTCCTGCCTCTATTGGACAATCAGTATTTTATTCATCAACCAATAAGAGAAATATATA